GAGCGTTTCCAGTAAAATCACATTACAGATCATATGATTTACTATGCCTCATGACTTGATTTTACTGGAAACGTTCCTATATGATAATATGAGAATTAAAGCATGAAAATAGCAATATTTTGCTAATAATTTTTGCTTTAATAATATATTTTTAAAAGAAATAGCAAACCAATCTGATTTCATTTTTAAAGATTATTAGTCAGATAGATATTACAATCAGAGACTCTAACTTTAATATTAATTTATGAAAAGGAAAACCTTTAATAGTCAAAAAGTTAAGAAATTTTATTCGATACTGATGTTCTAAATATATTTATTCTTCAATTATATTAATATTAAGACATTTTATTACTTCTCTAAGAAACCAGTTCATAATAATTAAAGATGAAAATTGTAATTAATATGTTATAACTTTTAATATTACAATATATGTTACAATTAATTTTAACCTATATATGTTGTAACTAATTTTAGCTTATGTTATAATAAGTTGTAAATTTGAAATTTGATTAAACATGTAATATTTGCTCTAAATAATGATTATATCAATATTATTAATATTATTATTAAAGATAGTGCAGCAATTAATATTAAAAATTAAATACATCATATTAAATTGTTAATATTTTGTAATGGTAAAATAATAACATTAGAAAATATTTTCTAATTTATCAATAATAAAAATATGACTATTTTCAACTTTAATTAGAATTAAATAAATAAAACAATTTTCATATAACTTTATATAAAAAAAAATCTTTATTTTTATATTATTATTTTTAAAAATAATAAATATTTATAAACTTCTATTATGAAAATTATAATAATAAAAGATTAAAAAAATAATATGATCAGATAATTCTACTTTCACAATTTTAAATATGATATAAGCATTATACTTATATTCTGAATTTTAATTATATATTTTAGGTATTTAATTATTAAAGCTTAGATTTGTAAAGTTTAATTTATATAATAATAATTAATTATTAACAAATTATATTTTTGAAGTATTTTTGTATTTATAATAGTTGTAAATTAAAAATAGTAAATTTTTTTTTATTTATTACATGTAAAGTATTAATTTTTATAATTTTTATTTAAATTTTTTTTTTTTTTTTTTTAAAAAAAAAATTTATTTATAAAAAAATTTGCTTTTTATTTTTTTTTATTTTAATTATAAGGTTTATTTAATTTTACTGATTTTTTTTTTTTAAAAAAAAAAAAAAAAAAAATTTTGATTTTTAAGTTATATATAACAAAATATAATTGATATTCTCATTAATATAATCTTTTCTTTTTTTTTTTTTTCATTGAAATTTGACTTGATCTTTTTGATTTGATGAATATATCACAAATATAAGAAATCCTATTGAATAAAAAATGGATGATGAATTTTATCTCAAAAAAAAAAAAAAAATGAAACCCAAAAAAAATGTACATTTGATGTTTGTTTGTTGTGAAGTAAAAATAATTCTCTACGCTAAAATTTTCATGTTCGTTCTCACTCTTCTAACCCTTTTATAATTAATAGTTCTTCCTTATAATCCAGCCGATTATAATACCTTTTTTTTTTCAGAAATGGGTATTCGCTCCAAATATTTAATCGAATCATTTAAAATTCGCTTGAAGAAATAAACTTTAAATCTATGTATTTAATTCTCATCGGTCCAAGTAGTATTACCATCGGTAAACCTTCTCCAGATTACCTTTAAATCTCTTCTAGATAAACCGAATTCATCATTACATTTTAATAAAAAACATTTATCAACACCTAAACAACCAACTAGATCCAATAATCTAAGACCTTCACACGCTTCAAAAACAGCTCTCACACCTTCCTCGCTCACACCACGACAATAACTTACTCTTAATTCTCTTAATTTTAAACAATATTTTGAAATTGAATGCATCGATCTATCACTTACTTTCTCACAATTTGTTAAATCAAGAGTACGTAATCTATCTCCACATATCGTAGCAATTTTGTTAATTGACGCATCAGATAAAGAAGTGTTCCATGCAAGTGAAAGGTTCTGTACTTTACTACAATTTGGTATAATTGATGATAAACAAGTGTCAGATCTACTTCCGCCTGCAAGGTTTAATGTACGTACATTATTGAAAAATGGTGATAATAATTTAGTTAAATAACCATTAGTGATGCCTTTAACAAAACTTAAATTAATTGTATGAAGACTTTCTGTATGAATTAATGGTAATAAACGAAGAAGATGGGATGAAAGTGATGAATTATTACGATCATGTTCCGTTAAATATGTTAAATCCAATGTACGAATATAAGTAGCATAGGGATGAAATACAGTTGATTGTTGTTGAGAAAAATTCGATGATGATGATGATGATGATGATGATGATAATGATGATAATGATGATGATGATGGAGAGTTCTCTATAGTTTTAATGAACTTGTCCAGTGACCGCATATGAGTAAATTTTGGGGAATTCCAAAGGACGTTTGTTCCTATGACATTCCATTGATGGTTCACTAGAATGCAAGAAAAAAGTGATGGTTGATGTAAGGTACGCAATATTTCGAAGATGTGGTATATTATTTCCGGGGGGCATCGAGCACATGGAGGTATGGAACTATTAACCACTTTCAATGGTAAATGAGAAACGTTCTTTCTATTCTGTTGTTGAAATACTAAATCCGGAATAATAAATTCATCATCTATAAAGCTATGATCATTTGTGACTATGGTTATAATAGTGACATTAGTACTACTTATTTCTTTAATAAAAGTTGGCGTGGGAGGACGTGAAGTTGGCAAAGGTGTAAGATAAGGTACATCGACAGGGTTAGGTGAAGGAGGACGTGAAGATGGAGGTGATGATAAAGGTGTTTGTAATTGAGATGGCGCCTCTAAGGATGTTGTTAAATGCGACGACTTTGGGGTAAGCAGCGGCGAACTAGGTGGTGATTGAAATAACTAACGATCCCAATGACGAAAATAAAAATTGAAAAATGCATCAACTCAAATGATTGTATTTCAGACGAAATACTCGAACGATCGAAATCTAATTACCTCAATATCATCTTTAGCAGTTGTGCCCGTTTGTCGTCGTTTAGAAACTTTCTTTCTTTCCATTCTGTCTTCTGTAATCAACCTTTTTTCACCGTTTGCCATTTACTGGTCCAACGAAATTATATTTATTCTTAAATCTAATTATTTTGGGATGAAAAAAAACTAAAGGATCTAGAAAATAGTAAAGAAATAACTCAAATATTCTAACGAGTTTTGAAGTTCTTCTTTTGAATCTAAATTAATAGTTTCAAAAAAGGTCAACGACGACCTAGAGGCGACAACTAAATAATATTCTGAATTATTCCAATGTTAGTATGTATTAAAGTCGCCGTATCCCACCCAAAAGTATCTAACCCTTTTGACAAAGGGGAAAGCACCGAACCCACAACAGAGACGAATTACTGAAATAAAAAAAGCAAGTTTTTAAAATAAGAAATTCAAAATAATGAGGGAAGTTAAAAGTAAAATTGTGAAACTTTATAGAGTAAAATTGAAAGTTTGGTAAAACGAGAAAGAAACGGTAGATAAATAAAAAACACCAACGGCAAAAAAAAGACAAAGTTTAGTTGATACTATCAAGTATAGAAAATAGTGAAGGAAGCACAACAGCGGTCAGGGTTCCTTGGGTGGAGTTTAGTGGTGTTTATTAAAAATGGATATGCAACCATCAAATTAACACGATGAGACGCAAGGAGGTTTGAGGTATTTGCATTCTTGGCTACACAAAATAATAAAATAAGAAAAGTGGTAGTGAACTTTGAATTTTTTTGGTCGATGACATAAATTCATTTAATCACGCGAACGAACACATGATCAGTGTTACATAATTATTTGAATAAAATACATTTAACAAAATGAGGGAAAAAAGAGTTGAGAAAGAATATTTTTAATATTTTGCAGATGCATAGCTAATCGTGTGATCAATCATAGTGATAAATATTACTAATCAGTATTTGAACCTGATTTCTCAAAGATGTGCATTTTTACTAAGCTAAATATATACGTTAATGGAATGTTCATTGTAATGTTTTTGATCTGCACCTGCCAATTTGACTCGTTATATATAAAATAAGTATAAGTAAAACCCACTTTCTTTCTGGTGCCTTCAATTGATACAATTTTTACGAAATCAGCTGCTCGTATTTTTAATCCTTTGATACAAAGATGTCTCGAAAGATTCCTATGATTCAAATTTAAAATCAAGGAGCAGCCCAAGTTCTGGATATCATCATTATTCGAAAAGTTTTCAATGCTCTTGACAATAGATTTGAAAGAACGAATGGATGGGTTCAAATTATCATTATATATCAAATTTGCATGAACCTCTTCCTTGTTTGAAACGATCATAACATAATCAAGTTCAAATTGGAAAGCGTTGTTAGAGAAGTTCGATCGATGGGGACAATTCGGTATAGAATATGTTACGTCGATTGGTTGAACCTTCGTTAAAATGACGTTCCACATCCTATCGAAATAAAAAAAGACGAGAAAAATTAAAATTTTAGGTTAATCGTTTGTAATCAAAATTAATTACCATCTTTATCTGTTTTTTTCAATCATCCTTCGCAATTTTTCATAACTCATAATTAATATTTGTTCATTCCAGGTTTTTGAAACTCCTCGTAAACGAAAACTTTCAGGAATTCTAGATTTAACGGAATTAGTTCAATTCAAAAAATGGTTTAAAAGAATAATTTATCAAATATGAAAATGTAATAAATATTTAAGAATATATAACCATATTTCGGTTGGAAAGGTTTCAACTGGCAGAATTGTCATCTTGTAAAATAAAATTTAGTCCCTCCGATGAAAAGGCAATTCTTTTTTTTCCAGCGAGCATAAAAAACTTTTTAATCGGTCTATAATATATGGCGTAGTACGAAATGATTCAACGTGATTCAACATTTTAATTCTTACCATAACAACTCCGAAAATTTTCCCCACACTTTTTTATAATTTATTATTTTTCATTGTTTATAAGATAAAACGAAAAGCTTGCTTGATTTGCATTAGTCTAGTGAATATCTTGATCTTTTATGATGTGGCTATGAACAATCACATTGAGGGATTTTAATTGGACAAGACTTAAAATTAAAAACAATTAGACGGAAACAGTTTTTGATGATTAAAATTTGAAAATCTTCATACTATTACTATATTTGAATCGAAATTTCGAATGGTTCTTAATTCGGAAATGTCTTTATCAGCCACGTTACTCAATGAATAAATTACGTAATTTATCAGTATTTATCACAGATTCCAACACGAAATAAGATACGAATTTTCTTCTTTTTATTTTTCTCCTCTTTTTTTATTTTTTTTTTTTTTTTGTGTAGAATACAAAATAAATAATTTTTTTTTAAACCCCTTCACACAAGTATATACACATAGTCCCTTATGAAAATGTGGAATAGGTGGTTTAAAAGTTCTCCTGAACACCAAGCCTCAAGGACGTCAGCCGAAGAGGAAGCTTTAGCCGATTATGTATACTCTAAAGTCATTTATCAAGCTGGTAAAATAACTAGTTCTATTATTATATTTACTATGTTTTGGTTCTTTATTTAACCTTTGTCTCATGAAGGCGTCGATTTTGAGAGCAAACCTATGGTCATACTATGTGCATGCAATCTCCCAGATCCCATAGAAGTCGATTATGATAAAATCTTATCGTAAATATAATTGAATTCATAATTATACATTTATATAATTTTTGTTACAAAGTTGCTAATTTTTTTTTAAAAAAAAACCCCACATATAGACGAATTTTACTTAAACTTGACCTTTTTGTTGAGAGTGATTATACAGTCGTCCTCTTCGTAGGTGGAGCCAAACATAACCCTGGCTGGTCTTGGATGTTTAAAGCATATAAAAGCCTCAGCAGAAAGTATATATTATAACACCTTTATTTTTTTTTTTTTTGGATTAATTAAATTCCTTCACCCTTAATTTTATTTATTTTCATAGATACAAGAAAAATCTTAAATCTTTGTACATTGTTCAACCAACATTGTGGGCACGTATATCACTCGACTTTATGAATGCAGTAATTAGGTAATTATTTAATTATTTAATGATTTTATACCTAGTTACTCAATTTTTTAAAAATTTTTTAATTAAATTTAGCCCGAAATTTGCGAAAAAAATTAAATACATTCATACTTTATCAGAATTAGCTAATTTTATTCCGCTTACACAAATCGACATACCGCCGGCCGTATATGAGTAAGCATTCATATTATATTCGTGAATTTTAAAATTTTGATTTGTACTTTAATGGATTTATGTTACTAGATATAATTCGAAATATGAAGTTAAAATAACGTTACCACCGTCACTTAATTATGATGAAAATAAGCGTTTGATGTTTGGAGTCCCTCTCGAAGTTTTAATGGGATCAGAAGGCGAAAATGGACTACCAAGAGTGGTCAGAGATTGTGTCACGTATTTAAGAACAGAAGGTATGTTATAATTTTATATCTTAGTTATATTATGAATAAATTTGCAAATTTGTTAAAATTGTCTAAAATTTATAGGTTTGACGGTTGTTGGAGTATTCCGCCGATCACCTGGTTCAATATTATTACGCCAAGCAAAAGAAGCTTATGACCGAGGTAGGATTTAATTTGAATCAATTAAATTATCTAAAATATACTAATATGTATATAAACGTAGGAAATCCAATTAATTTGGCGGATTATGGTGTACATATGGCAGCCGTTCTTCTTAAAATGTTCTTTAATGACTTGCCAATATCAATATTTCCAGTACAAACGTACGAGACATTAAGACAAATCCGAGGAAAACAACATTATTTGGGACGTATAGAGTTTATACGTAGTAGCGTATTTCCATTATTATCGCCTGCAGCGATCATTCTTCTCCAATATGTTTGCTCACTTCTTCATGAGGTTTCAAAACACAAGGATATCAATTTCATGAATGCACATAATCTTGCAGTAATGTTTGCACCTAATTTGGTGCATAGTGGAAACCCAATGCTTGATGTGGGCATGTGTTCGTTGAGCATAAATGATGAAACAGCCGGCGGTGGTGTCGGAATACTTATGAAACTCTCCATAGAATATTTTGATTTGATGTTTGAAGGATATGAAGAACCAAGAGATCGTATTAGAGATGTGTCGGCAGAAAGTGGAACAATTTCGATGTCATCTTCAATGACTGGATCTATTAAATCTTCAGATACACCTTTTTCATATTTTAGTCCATCTGCTTCTTTAATAAGTTATTCAAGTCCTCCTAAATATTCATCAATTCGAAGAGTACGTAGTCTTGCTGCACTTTCAACTATACCCATAAATGGATCAGATTTTTTTCGCGTTGGAGCTGGTGTAGAAATTAGCAGTGTTAAAGTACAAGGAATGGTAAGTAGAAGTCAACCAGTTACCCCATATAGTGATATTCCAGGGTCTCCTTCATCAATGGCTTCAATTGATGAATTACGCAGGGCAATGCCTTGGGCTTAACGGAAAAAAAATTATTATAAAATTATATTTATTTTATTTATTGTACTTTATTAATATTATTTAATATTTAATCATTTGTATTATTTGTAGCAATTTCAATGTCATAATCATTTATAATTATAATATCATTATTTACAATAAACTTTAGCATGTTAACACATTAAATAAACTCCCATGTAACTATTTCCATATGATTCAAACATACTTAATTATAAAACTTACCGTTACATTGATTTTTGATGCATTGTTTCCGGCTTTACATTTTGGTCACGTTATATTGGAGACAAAATACGTACAGATAGTGTGGGATAGCCTCGAAATGTTGGGACAGAGAAAAATATTATCACAGGGTATAAAAAAAAAGGTTAAAAATTCTACTAATTTTAGTTTTAAAATACAAAAATTATAAAAATCATAGAAAAAATTACGCGAACAATAAAATTTTGTGTTTCCTAATTTTTTTTATGACGTCTGAAAAAAATTCCCTATATAGTAGTACCCCGGGTATTTACATTCTATAATCGGAGCAGCAGATAAATAATAGTAATCGAGAAAACATTATTAATTTAGATAACATGGACAAAAGAAGATTTTTCATCTAAAATACCACGTTATGCACCACTACAAATTCGTTTGCTAAAGATCTGTTCAAACGTTGATAATTATATTTTAAATACAAGTTTCTATATTTTTATAATTCATTGTAATTCAGATGTCTCTAGGGGATTAAAGACCGACGTCTTGATAGATATTGTTAGTACATTAGCCATTCAATTACATATGGTGAAATCAATAGTTTCATTAGCTGGATTATATACAGATGATGATGCAGTTCGGACATTGGTTTATCTGTATATCGTCTCGGATGAAGTTAAAAGCTCAATTGCAGGAACAGCTGCCATCACTTTTGTTAAATGATGTAAAGCTGCTTTGGTAACCACCAAACCACTTACTGATCTTTTGGTGATGCAGCTTTCTCAAGCAACGGTAAACATCTAAAATTAGAAAAAAAATATATTTTTTTAAAAAAATCGAAAAATAATATATGTATATATATAAACAAACATCTTACGCTTGTGTTAAACTAAAAATTCTTTTAACGTTCAAATTCATAACTTTCTATTATTTAAAAATATAATTAACTATTATTAGCTTTACTTGAGAAAGATATATATATAACTTATCATAATAACCTCAAATAGATCTGGGGATGAGAATCATTTCCAATGGCGATCTTAATTAGACTGATCTTTATTTTTAGACAACCCCGATCTTAATAGCATTACAAAAAAAAAAAAAAAAAAAAATGCAAAGCCGTATTTATTGATTACAAAAATATTATTATTATTATTGAGAGTCGAGAATAAATTTTATTCTTAGATGATCCCCTTCTATATTGATTTAATTTAGCAAACATTCCTATAAATGCTAATCTAATATCTCCTTGGGTTGGATTTGATGAATGATGAAAGAAGGTTGGTTGTTTTGTACCCTTATACTCGGATTTTTTTTCAAAAACTCCCACAAATCTAAAGAAACATTGAACTTTGAAGTTGATGTACCTTCTTCTGTTGTTAAAGATTCGGAAGATATATAGATTCATTCATTATCATTATTTTGACACACGACATTGTATACAAATATTACACCAAAAAAAAGGTTGGGTTTATAAGATCGATTTCAGGAACGATCTGATCCAATCTCAACCTTCAGATTGGACCGAGATCGGCCTTATGATCGAATCGCGATCGTTAACATATTTTATATCTGGGTGTAAAGATTATGAAATATTACAAAAAGTAATGGAACTAATAATTAATGAATTGCAAAATTTGATTAATAAATTCAACTGGAAAGAAATGGAAATTAAATCATATTTTATTAGTGATTGGAAATTTATGGCTATAATATTAGTAATATTAGGGTTTAATGTTACAAATGCTAATTACTTCTGTTTGTGATACTTGTATACAAAAATATATTGACAATAAGGATATAGTTTACAAAATTGAAAAAGTTATGAATTAAATACAGTCTTCAAATCTACCACCTAAACATTTCAAAACTCCTCTCTTCCTATGGTTCCTTTGGATCTGTTGAGCTTCATATAATATTAAGAATTTAGGATTGAATATGAGCATTAATAATTCAAGAACTCAAATCTGAAATCGATTTAATAATTATATTAGAACAGTTATTAGCATAAAAATGCGAAGAATATTAGATAGTTTTTATTTTTAACAAGATCATGATACATAAAATTGGTTATACACATTTTTGATAGGAGGAAATAAGAAGCTTGTTTTATAAAACTTTAATTTTGAGATTATCTTTGATGAGGAACATATTATACTTATTAATTGTTTATAAAAAGACTTTTATAAATTCATGAAGAAACTAGAAACTAATTCAACTTTTATTGTTATTCAAGCAAAAAAAATGGCTAGATTTATTCCTAACATCCTATTAGGATATACCCAATATAATTTCTTTTAAAAAAAGATCTTTATTATCCTAAGAATATTACATTATATATGCATGTCTTGATCAACTATATATCTGAATTTATAAAACTACATAGGCATTATAGTTGCTATAACCCTTATTATACAAATTTATGACATTTTTAAATTCAAAAGCTTTAACGTAATTTGTATCTTCTTGATCATTTTTGTCACTTGTCATCAAGAGGATTTGTTTTACAAATTAAGAATCATTTTCTATACTTTGAATGATTTATAATGTTATTGTTGTTTAAATATTCTTCTATTGTTATATTTCTTTTTTTCTGAATTTATATTCTTCTTGTTATATTTCTTTTACTTTTAATAAGTTTAAACTTTTCAAACTTCATATAGTTTCAGTAACATCAACATCAACAGACTATCAGCATGATATATACATTACTTTCACTATAAGTATCCAAAATACTATTTAAGTACTGTTACCCGAAAAATAGGACATTCATTTTTAGGTAAGAGGTTGAGTTCGTTATGTTATAAATTCTTAGTTGATTTGA